TACCCAAAACCTAATCAGATCTTGGCAATAGTCTGCTCTTGCATCTGTAAAAATTTCAAGTTGAACGGATAAGTGGTTTTCCTGGAATTTTGATGACAAGATTTGTTGAAAAATTCAAAATGGCCGCCACATAGTTTACCCAGCATGCCCTAAATCTAATCAGATCTTGGCACTAGTCTGCTATTGCATGTGTAATAATTTCAAGTTGAACAGGTTAGCGGTTTTCTTGGAATTTTGATGACAAGAATTGATTTGTAGTCACAAACTTTGAGAAACTTGGATAACATCATTTGTGACCTAGTTTATTGACCTTGACCTTTGACCTTGAAAATTTAACTTTTTCAGACCTCAGTAGGTGTTTCGTAATTAAGCTGACCTAAATTTAAATCCAAAATATCAATTTAGAAAATAAACTTTTTTTACCTTTTAAAGGTCACTGAAGGTCAACGAAAGGTCAAATCTGAAATCTAAGGTCAGATTTGAACTTCTGAGAACTTGTAGATGTTTTTTTAAAAAAAAATTTGGTCAATTTGGAGCAAGTTGAAAAATTCAAAATGGCCGCCAAATTGAAAAATTCAAAATGGCCACCATGTAATTCAGCCAGCATACCCAAAACCTAATCAGATCTTGGCAATAGTCTGCTCTTGCATCTGTAAAAATTTCAAGTTGAACTGATAAGTGGTTTTCCTGGAATTTTGATGACAAGATTTGTTGAAAAATTCAAAATGGCGGCCACATAGTTTACCCAGCATGCCCTTAACCTAATCAGATCTTGGTACTAGTCTGCTCTTGCATCTGTAAAAATTTCAAGTTGAACAGGTAAGCAGTTATCCTGGAAATTTGATGACAAGATTTGGTTTAGCACGCCCGCACGCCCGCCCGCACGCCCGCCCAACAGCACAAGACGACGACAATATAGCACTTTTTCAAATTCGATAAAAAGATTTACTGATTGAATCCCAGCTATCATAACAGACCCATGGTTAAGACTTGTTCATAATCCAAATCAAAAACATCCAGTTAATTTAAAATAAGGATAAACCAATTATGTTCTTGATTCACACCTTTCTCTTAATCCAAACATAAAACTTTCAGTTCTTTTCTAATAGGATAAACCAATTAACTCCCGTATTCACACCTTTTTTGTTGTTTTCCACAATTAGGGATGTCATTGAGACTTAAATAAGTTAATTAATTAACAATATTGGTTCTTTGATTACATTGCATATGTAAAGATAATAAGAACTATAACATTGACTCAATATGTGGCTATTATTGAAATGTCCAGACATTTGATTTCTGATAAAATGTTCAGATTAGACAGGTCAGTTTTTCAAATCTGGTTGTTCACTGTTCAGATTAGGAGGTGTTCAGATTTCAGTGTTTTTTTAACATGGGAGTCAATGGGAGGAAAAAATGGGACCGAAAAAAAGTGTTCAAATTGGAAGGTGTTCGGATTAGCCAGGTGTTCAGATATACAGGTTTTACTGTACCAGCAATATTTTCAGACTAATTCAATCAGATTGTATCTTTGATACTATATACATACACTTTTTGTGCTAACTAGTACGTGAAAATATACTGTTGAGACTAGATGTCATCAAAACCACCATAGCTAAGGCAAAAAAAGTTGACCTAGAAATATCCTGTTACAGTAATATAAGCAATAATTCATTCTGAGCGTATATGACTTACTGACATTCTGTTAAAGGCACGTGTATATGGAAATATTTTGAAAATTTCTGGTACAAAATATAGTATGAAGGCATGTGTTTTATTTCTTTGTTTTTTCCGGAAATTATCTTTGCATTGCCTTCTTTAGGTAACTGAGTAAGCCTGGTAATTATCTTGTGCCAAGAAAATCTCAGGTTATGCAGACCAAATCCAAAGAACATTATGTTGTTTATCAAAAGACATAAAAGTCGGTGCTAGCTATGTACATATTTCTTACTTCAATTTAATCTAAAGACCAGCCTAAGTGTTCTCTCAAAGCCCAAAAGTTGCGGCTGTCTCAAATCGCAGACTTTTTAAATCGACCAGTATTTCAAAAGACAGCTGTAGCTTTGAGAGAATGTTCAAGCTAGTGTATAGAATCAATTGAGTAGATTACATTCTCTAGACGGTATTTTTTAATGTAAATTATAATTCAAAGAGACTGATGTAGAAAATTAATTTGCATATTTAAATTATTTTTAAGTTCCACTACATGTAGCTTTATCTCTTAGACTAGACAATATGCTGTGTTACTTTTTATGTCATTTAATTGTACCTTACTACCTAATTGAATTTTCCGAATGTTTATTTTATTGAAGTAATGCTTCCTCTAATGAATTGATAATTTTGTGCAATACAATTCACCGCAATAACCACACGACAGAAAATAAGGATAACAAACTGAGTTCACACTCAGTCTGTTGGATACTAATCAATAATGAGGTAAGAAATATGTGCATAGCTGGTGCAGATATTTTTGGACTTGTGGAATATAACATGTGGTTCTATTGTATACACACCGATAACGTGGGTATTTCCATGAACATGTGCCTTTAACACTAATTTGTAAATTCTGCAAACTGATTGCCTATTTCAATGGTAGGAGCAACTTATAACCTTTATATTGTTTCTCAAGGGGGGATTTTGCGTGTTTCGGGGGGTATGGATGCAATTTTCCAGGGTAGAGGGGTATGGATGCAAATTTCTGGGGGGGGGGGTATGGATGCAAATTTCCGGGGGGGGGGGGGGGGGTGGTATGGATGCAATTTTCTGGGGGGGGGGGGGGGTAGCAAGAAAAAAAATTCTGGGGGGGGGGGGTGTCTCAGCCTGTGCATCCATACCCCCCGTACATTTTTTAAATGGAATGGCCCAAATAGACTTCTAAATAAGCAATTGAAAGGTTGGACGTCCCGCCATGGGCTTTCAATTAGACTAGAAGGGTATGCAACAACTCTGTGTTGTAAACATGAGACCTTCAAATGAGCAATGCCATGCTTCCCTTTTTGTGGTAATAGATCTATTTCAAAAAGTATTTGATAAATGTATATGTTTTAGTATTATTTTGAATAAAAATCAATTTTCAATATGATTAAAGCATCAAATATGTTCAGTCTCATGTAAAAGTAAACAAAAAGACCAATAAACTATCAAGATGTTCTCTTTGAGTATTGCATTGTGGGTAATTATTCAAGAACACATTCCAATAAAAACATAATTTGTGGGAGAATGTTCACTCTCTGTATTGTCATAATTATGATGAATTCCATTTTTTATTAAATTATCAACATGTATGTAGGTGATCATGTTTTTATATTTGAGTTATTTCTTTAAATCATCCCTAAAAAGTAAAAAATAAGATTTTCTTGGAATGTGTACATTCTTCAATTCTGAAAACCCAAAAGGCAATGCTTATGTATGAAATATGGGAAGTTGCCTACCCTTCTAGTTGAAAGCCCATGGTCCCGCATTTTGTTTTTTGAAACATTTCTAAATCTCCGCCATTTGAAATTCCTGCTGCAGCTGAGATAGATAGGACCGCATATTCATAGTATAACCGCGGTGGTCTAATATGTAACCGTAAGCATGGTACACGATATTACCGCCGTTTGCGGTCTATTACTGGCAACTCTTGCAGTTTGCCCGACCCACTGACGAAGAAAAATCTAAAATAATTGAAGACTAAAATACCTCAAATCTACCCATATTCAAGGTTTTCTTGACATGCGCATGGTATCTTACAAACATAATGATGAATAGAACGTTTGGGGAAAGCGGGGCTTGAATCTAATTTTTTAAAAGGTACGTGAGCATTTTTTCTGTCCAGGATTATTGGTTTCGGGAGAAGATTCCCGGGGATTTAGGATGATAATGATTGCAACTATCGGCTGAAATTTGGTAGGTTCGGGGGTTCTCTTGGTAGCTAATGAAAATAGCCTTGATGAAATATCCAAACTTCGATATATTTTGACACCAGGTTCATGATCGTTGGATACGTCTCTCTCTGCACTATTTATCCAACCTTTAAAAATTTGGGCCCAAATTCTCAAATTTTTGAGTCCAAATTTTTCAAAATATTGAATACAAGTCAGGCAAGTGATTTTCAGGCAAAAATATGTATAACACTGACAGAATTGCTCATTCCCCGATATAACAAGACTATAGCATACGATTCGTGCAAATAACACGTTTACGAATACCTGAAGTTAAGATATATAGTATGGAAAGCAATATAAATTACTTACTTTTACATAAAGTCAAGTGACAGCAATTTCATGACCATATTTATCAACCTACCTTTCAAATTTTCAAAAAAACACGACTAAAGTTAAACGACCGGGCCGATTTGCACTGTTAACTCTTGGTCACCGTGTATTATAGGCATAGTCATACTTTTGTATATAAGAGATCCTGATTTTTTTTCACTAAATCTCTATTTTGTTCCAGGGCTTCATCAAAGATGCTCTATAATGCATAGGCAGAGTATGCACTGTCATTAGATATGCTGCAGCTGAGGAGGGAGGTCAGATCCAGCAATGGAACAGGTGGATGTTATCTAGACACTGCAGTGGAACTCCTTGAGATGACATCCATTCTTCAATCACCATAAAAATTTCACGAAGGATACATACAGGGAGACATTGGAAGGCATACTTAATTAAGGTCAGTAGTATCAACTAAGGCTATGAATTATCACTGTAAAATGATGATATTACTCTGATTTGTAATCCATAAGTTAACATTGAGTTGTGGTTGCAAAAGTGAGGCATTGTTTTCTCACCTTACCCCATACTGTAGCCTGTATATCTTTAAAAAGGATACAGGCTTCAGTGAAGGCTACAGGGAACTTAATTAACCTGATTATTTAGTAAATTTTTTATTTAATTATTTTCATTTTATTTGTCTATTTAACAATTTTTTTTCTACTGGACTCCAGGGTAATACCTTTTATATTGCCTTAACGGGAGTTGTGCCCTTTCCATCTTTACTAGAAGCTCATATGGCAAGACTGAAAATACTTGTAAGCGTACATCTGAATGTATTTGATCAAGAGAATCAATTTTATAGTTTAAGTGGGGCTTTAAAAATACCCAAGATTCCCCCCAGTCTTCAGGAGGAAGAATTGGGGAGGAGGGATAAAGTAATCTGCTTACCCAATAAATCTTTGTAATTCGATCACTTTGCAAAAATGTACAGTGGGACCCTCGAAATCTTTTTGTACTTCGTAAAGGATGATAAATTACCTGACCTACTTTCCTCATTTGTGATTGGCTGGAAGTTAACGCAGTCTGCTGTTGGTGTTGTGCGACCTGTTGCAGCTGATAAGGTTGTTGTAGTTGTTGTTTTTGTCAGTGTTTTATTTGTAATAGTTATTTTAACTAATGTAGTTGTTGTTAAGTCACAATCGTTGTGCGACTTGTTGTGTGTTGCCTTCTTTTTGTAACCTTTCGAGGCAACTAGCATCCTTCCAATACCCCTAGCTAGGGAACTAGCTGACAGCATCTTGAGGGATTTGCCCCTGAATATTGGAAACACAAAGCCCTCTGGCGTCTCACCAAACTTATATGCTGTTATTTTTATGAATTTCAATATCATATGATGGATCTCAGCAGGTACAGCAAGCTAAGCTGCCTCCCAGCTCTTCAACGTCTTCTGGTCTTTAGTTACCTAAAGAGAGTCAGTTTGACAGATATTTTTTTGGCATAACTAGAGTTAAATGTTCTTTGAAGCAATTATAGTTTCATCACTGTACCATGTTTGTGAAGTCATTGAGAAGGCAGAGTCAAAAACTAAGAAGTCCAGTATGTCTCTAGACAGAATATTCAGGACAGACCTATTGGATTAGAGTGATTAAATACCAGCAATGGTCATAGGACTTTGTCAGCTTAATGATTAAAAAGGTATGCATCTTTTGAAGGGTTGCATTCTTAGTACACCCTTTAAATAGAGCAGTTTGATAATTTTATATCATGTACATATACCAACTGCTAAATAATTACAAAAATATGATGGCCTCAATCATAACTCCAGGCGTTTCCAGCTTGACAAAATTTATATAAACCCGAATCTAGAATGCCATAAACCATTGCGGTCCATCTTAATATCAATTATTCATTGAGCAGAATATCAAGGATGCAAAACCTGTCTTATCTGAACACCTTCTAATCCAAACATTTTTAGCTTGTCCCAATGGCGTTCTGATTACACAAGCTTAAATGTACTTACATGATACACAAAAGTGCTGGATATTGAATTATTACATGCCATAACATGCCTAGCACACAAATTCACTATTGGGCCAGCTCTGAATGCGTTAGCGAGCACAATTTCGGTTGTGAGGAAATTCCTCATTCTGCGCATTGAACTGTTATCTAACTTGTCCCAAGATTTAAGGAATAAAGCCTTGGTCTCGGATACATATTTAGAAGACGAATGAAATGCCAGCTCTTTTTTTGTTAGAAGCTGGTCCTGAGCTATAGCTTGCTTATCCAGCTGCCTCTTCTGACTCATATCCACTAGTGCATTGCACCATTTTCTGTTCTGTTTTTGGAAAGTGGAAAAATCTCCACTTGTAATGGTTGAGAGTTCAAGTTCAAGATAGGAATAAAAGCACTGATAAAGCACTGATAAGGTATACCAAGTTAATAGTGGTTGCCTCTTTTATATTTTTTATATGTTCCATGTAACGCTGGTGTAATAAAATACCTCTGTATGTTTACTCTCTCTAGAGGCTTATATTCCACATTGTCATTTATACATTTAATATAATAAACTTGCCATCGTGTGTGATTCTTTTTGCAGATTCCAGTGTTTTTTGGCCCCCTGATATTGTTGTTAGCCACTCCTGAAAAGGATCCATATCTTTAAAAAGTGAGTCTGTAGGTGACAGAGAAGGAATTCTTCTTTTTGACTTGGATTTATGCTTATCCAATCTCTGCACTTCTGCTCCATATTCCTGACATCTTTTATATTTGTAGATACCACCTTCATCTACCTTTTGTGCCCTTGTATATTCCTCTTTATACATGTTTTTGTAATTTTCTGGAATACTGTACTTTGGGTATTTTTATGTATTTTGAAATGAGCCCCAAGTCAAATATAACATCAAATACATGTTTCACAGAACTGTTACTTCATGTACTGTTATATTCGTACATTTTCAACTTTACTTACACATCATTTCATTGTTGTCCTAATCAATTAAAATATGTTTGCTTTATCATTGACTGTAGAAAATGCTTGATTTAATTTTAACTTTTTTCAAATGGAATTTATATGACAACTTATATGAAATGCAACATAATCTTATATCTGTTCCTTCAGTTTTTTATAAAATTACAAACACACTTGAACCATGCAGCTACTGACACATATCATCTACTAAGTGCAACAGTTATTTTTCAGCAAAATAACATCTTTGAAAATGTACACTCAGAAATAGCTTTCATTTTATCTAATATGAATACAATACTTACAGAAGTATCTCTGCTGTTAGTGGATGGAAATTACACCCAATTCTTTTGTGATATCCTCTGCTGCCCTATCACAATCGAACACCACACACCATGGTGCTCTTCTTTGTCCTAATGACAATGCCTAACAGTCTGAAAAAATGAAATGAGTTTACAAGTTGCCTCAATCAAGTATTCAAGCCCTTGACTCATTCAATTCAATTGAAAAAATCACTCAATTGAAGGTGACGTTTTTAAATCTAGGAAACAAGGTCTGAGTGGAATGAGCATTATCATAGAGTGAATGAAGAATTGTCAATATAGGCATGACAAAGAATAATTTGAGCAAAACATTTTGGAAAATTGACCATTTCTAAATGTTAATCTCAGTCTCTAAACCTTGTTCCCTTCTGATGTTTGATGAAGAATCATTTTATTAGACTCTACCTTTTCTTGGTTGGATGAGTCAAAACATAAAGGATATCTTCACTTTTCCATTCTGCATATCAGCCTCCTTCATCATCATCAGTTACCCTGAAATATAATTTCAACTACATTATTCATATTACAGCAAAATCAAGAATATCAAGGATGCAAAACCTGTCTAATCTGAACACCTTCTAATCCAAACATTTTTAGCTGGTCCCAATGGCGTTCTGATTACACAAGTTTAAATGTACTTACATGATACACAAAAGTGCTTAAGTGCTGGATATTGAATTATTACATGCCATAACATGCCTAGCACACAAATTCCCCTTTGGGCCAGCTCTTAATGTGCTAGCGAGCACAATTTCCGTTGTGAGGTAATTCCTCATTCTGCACATTGAACTGTTATCTAACTTGTCCTAAGATTTAAGGAATAAAGCCTTGGTCTCGGATACATATTTAGAAGACGAATATAATGCCAGCTCTTTTTTTGTTGGAAGCTGGTCCTGAGCTGTAGCTTGCTTATCCAGCTGCCTTCTCTGACTCATCGCCACTAGTGCATTGCACCATTTTCTGTTCTGTTTTTGGAAAGTGGAAAAATCTCCACTTGTAATGGTTGAGAGTTCAAGTTCAAGATAGGAAAAAAGCACTGATACCTTTCAAGGTATACCTTAATAGTAGTTGCCTCTTTTATTTATATTTTTGAATGTTCCATGTAACGCTGGTGTGATGAAATACCTCTGTATGTTTACTCTCTCTAGAGGCTTATATTCCACATTGTCATTTATACATTTCATAATAAACTTGACATCGTGTGTGATTCTTTTTGCAGATTCCAGTGTTTTTTGGCCCCCTGATATTGTAAGCCACTCCTGAAAAGGATCCATATCTTTAAAAAGGGAGTCTGTAGGTGACAGAGAAGGAATTCTACTTTTTGACTTGCATTTATGCTTATCCAATCTCTGCACTTCTGCTCCATATTCCTGACATCTTTTAGATTTGTAGATACCACCTTCATCTACCTTTTGTGCCCTTGTATATTCTTTTTTTATACATGTTTTTGTAATTTTCTGGAATACTGTAGTTTAGGTAATTTTTTATGTATTTTGAAATGAGCCCCAAGTCAAATATAACATCAAATACATGTTTCACAGAACTGCTACTAATCCATGTATCCATCCATATTAGTACATTTTCAACTTTACTTACAGTTAATTTCATTGTTGTCCTATTCAAGTAAAAAATGTTTGCTTCATCATTGACTAGAAAATGCTCGATTTAATTTTAACTTTTTTCAAAACGCAATATAATTTTATATCTGTTCCTTCAGTTTTTTTTAGTTTTTTTTATAAAATTACAAACACACTTGAACCATGCAGCTACAGACACATATCATCTTTGAAAATGTATACTCAGAAAATAGCTTTCATTTTATCTAATATGAATACAATACTTACAGAAGTATCTCTGCTGTTATTGGATGAAAAAGTTATACCCAATTATTTTGTGATATCCTCTGCTGCCCTATCACAATCGAACACCACACACCTGGTGCTCTTCTATGTCTTAATGACAATGCCTAACTGTCTGAAATATTTAAATGAGTTTACAAGTTGCCTCAATCAAGTATTTAAGCCTGGACTCAAAAAAATCATTCAATTGAAGGTGTCGTTTTAAAATCTAGGAAACAAGGTCTGAGCTGAATGAGCATTATCATAGAGTGAATGAAGAATTGTCAATATTGGCATGACAAAGAATAATTTGAGCAAAATATTTTGTAAAATTGTGACCATTTCTAAATGTTAATCTCAGTCTCTAAACCTTGTTTCCTTCTGATGTTTGATGAAGAATTATATTATTAGACTCTACCTTTTCTTGGTTGGTTGAGGTAAAACATTGAGGATATCTTCACTTTTCCATTCTGCATTGCAGCCTCCTTCATCATCACCAGTTACCCTTAAATATTATTTCAATTACATTAGAACCTAAAGTCCTAGTGAACATCTCTCCCTAATGAACACTTCAATACCTGACTCATCGATGTCTGACTCATGTATAAAAACACTCTGTAATGAACAACTACCTATGGTGAACATTTTGTGGTCTTTTCCACAGGTTTTTAATTAATTTTGTTTAATCTTAAAATTAGCCTAAATTATCAAAGCGAGATAATCTGATTATGAATGACTATGTTATAAAAACTATATATAATACATACAAAAGAAAAACCAATCATGTAATTTTGTGATCACATCACAAATGTCACAAAAATGAAGTGATTTAGGTATTTAAGTGTTATAATTTGTGAAATTAGTTGCTGTCATATTGGTCAACGATTTCAACAGGGAGGTTCTCATATGCATCATGGTATTATGCCCTTGTTTACTAAGTCGATCAAGTCATTTTTGGTCTCCTTTTCCAAGCGCAGGTTTTTTTCGTATAAAGTTTTTAGATTGGGGTTTCTCCTGTTTTTTCTTTGGAGGTCAAGTTGAGGTGTTATAGCAGATGTGTGATCATACTTGAAGTCAACTATGTACAGCTGGCCTCTTGATAAAGTGATCTCATCGACCTTGAGCCAATTCACCCTCTCCCCAGTCTCTGCAATGGTGAAGTTGTTCATCTTGCCAGATCTTGGAAGTCATAAATGTCTGCTTGGTCATTCCCACAACTTTGTATGGTGGTGAAGTTTTCTTTACTGCTTGTCCTTAGTAATGCTCTTGGGAATAGATTTCAATATCCTTTTTTTCTCTTTTAATATTTCAGTATTTCTTTCAATATTCTTGAATTATGACAATGATTCCACTAAATGCTATGCTAATCACAAACTATAGTGCACAGGACTATATTCATTGTGGTGGTGCACAACACTACCAATTAATTTCTTATTCATCAAACCAATTCTCTTCTGAAAGAAATAAATTAAATTCAGATAGAAGGAAGATGGAAGCCAGTATACACATGGTCCACTTGAAATGTCTCTCTGATGAGACTTACACAACAAGATGGGATGACGATGCGCACATGACGACCAAGGTGGCCATGTATCCACTGCTGATATTGTCTTACGCAATATCTTACGCTTATTTCATGACCATTGTATTTTTCAATGAACTTATATTATATAAGGCATTTACATGCAAAAAAGTTAGAATCTGGCAGTTATTGTAGTCAGTCTATTAATAACCAAATTATTTTGTTTTAGGCAATAATTTGCGCGTTTGAGGGTCATTGATGTCTCATCACCATTATCCCAGGATACTGTTACGCACTTCTTTTTCCATGTGGTTATTGTGCCTGGAAATAGAAACAATAAGAATAAAGCCACTGCTACTATATCATATCTCATCATACATATTTCTACTTGCAAGTTGCAAGTGTTGCCTACTTAAAGCAAAATACGGCTTTATGACATTTAAAGAGTTTTAACAAGAAAATGGCAAACATAGCATAAAAGTGACAAAATGTCACCACCTGTGAATGGTTTCAAAAGTGATACAGATATTGAAAAAACATTTGGGCAAGTAAGTTAAAAAATACCTTTTTGACCTTCAATATGTTGCTGACACTGTTTGTGATCAAGTTTGATAACCTCGACTTTTAACCTTGAAAATTTTACTTTTCAGACCTCAGTAGATACTTTGTGTTAAGGAAGATTTAATTTGGATCCAAAAATCAATTTGAAAAAACTTTTTTGACATTTTAATGGTGACTGAAGGACAACCTAAGGTTGAAACTCAAATATAAAGTCAGTTAAATTAGATACAATTACAAAAACATGAGAATGTGTTTGGAGCAGTAGGAGTTTTATTACGTAACATTATGTAACATTACGTCACAAGTTATTAAATATTGATAACTAGCCCCCATACACTAAAGCTAAAACTAAAATACAATTATATAATAAACCAAAGAAAAATGTAAAAACCCACAAATGCAATAAAATACTTGTAGGGGGGGGGGGGGGGGTGTGGAAGAACTGCAGCTTTATTGCTTAACGTGCTTATTTGCTGGGCGTTGGCTTAAACTGATCATTTAATGTTATGAGCATAATATGTAGGCTGTAATGTCACATCCCAATGACTTTAAGATTGTATCAGTGTAAAAACATACCTTAGGCCCCAGGCGTAAATTGCCCAAATTTAAATACAAATATTATCATATCTTTTAAAACAAGGCTAGTGGTTACATTAAAATGTGGCCAATACTCATGTAGAATTATATTATTAGACTCTACCTTTTCTTGGTTGGTTGAGGTAAAACATTGAGGATATCTTCACTTTTCCATTCTGCATTGCAGCCTCCTTCATCATCACCAGTTACCCTTAAATATTATTTCAATTACATTAGAACCTAAAGTCCTAGTGAACATCTCTCCCTAATGAACACTTCAATACCTGACTCATCGATGTCTGACTCATGTATAAAAACACTCTGTAATGAACAACTACCTATGGTGAACATTTTGTGGTCTTTTCCACAGGTTTTTAATTAATGTTGTTTAATCTTAAAATTAGCCTAAATTATCAAAGCGAGATAATCTGATTATGAATGACTATGTTATAAATGTAGCACACTTGGAAGGTGGACGTATGTGCGTATAGATCAATAACACGTATTGTAGGTTTAAAATTGTCTTTATTGTTAAAATATACCAATGTCTGGAAACAAAAACAACAAACAATAACATATATACAAACAAAACATAAAATCACACAAACAGACCATCGTTTCTTTATGAAACAAATGTTAATCATTAAATAAAGTTACCGCGTTTACATAAATACACAAATTCAAAATCACATCACTGCACAATGTGATGATTATAGGGAATACTAGTAATACACTTACGCAGTTGATAACTGCACATTGGTATTTTATGTTGGCAGCTTTACATGTTCATCTCACACTGGAATAAATAATAGCATAATGTTCATTGACGTTGGATATAGACGCCATATTGGATTTGTAATTTTGTACAAAGATTGTGTATAGAAGAAACGGAAATTCCCCAAGCTAACACTAACGTTATTCTAAGTAACAAGATGCATTTATTTGGTACAAAATATATCTGACTTGTCAATTCTTAGCAAGTAAAACTACTCTATAAAAGTAATGATTTTGATTTCTGACTAACCTGTTTTTGTTGTAACTCCTACTGCAGCAAAACTTTGTATCAAAATGTTGGGACTGATTGAAATAAATCTAGGTGTAGCGTTTATATTGGAAATCAAGTTTTACACTCATGCTAAAAGGAATATGTCCCTTTAGGAGCTCACAAATTATGATTGGTTTATATTCAAATACAAATTATTACAAACTTGTCATTGGCTGAAATTGTTCAAATTGAACACAATGTAAAGTGGGATTGTTGTATATTCAAATACAAGTTATTACAAAGTTGTCATTGGCTGAAAATGTGCAAATCGAACACAATAAAAAGTGGGATTAGTGTATGATTTCTGCATAACATGATTCTGTACTGGTATTCACTCAAGCGTATTAAACCTTCTATCAGCTAAAACTTGGCAATCAACACTGATGCTTAAAGGCTATTGCTTTGTGTACAGCATTATAAACTTTGTATTCATTGAACCTTACTAGTTGAACATATTAAAGCCTAATGCTTTTTATAAATGAGAATATTACTTTTAATTAAAATAGAGGTACGATATCACATAAAAACTATATATAATACATACAAAAGAAAAACCAATCATGTAATTTTGTGATCACATCACAAATGTCACAAAAATGAAGTGATTTAGGTATTTAAGTGTTATAATTTGTGAAATTAGTTGCTGCCATATTGGTCAACGATTTCAACAGGGAGGTTCTCATATGCATCATGGTATTATGCCCTTGTTTACTAAGTCGATCAAGTCATTTTTGGTCTCCTTTTCCGAGCGCAGCTTTTTTTTCCTATAAAGTTTTTAGATTGGGGTTTCTCCTGTTTTTTCTTTGGAGGTCAAGTTGAGGTGTTATAGCAGATGTGTGATCATACTTGAAGTCAACTATGTACAGCTGGCCTCTTGATAAAGTGATCTCATCGACCTTGAGCCAATTCACCCTCTCCCCAGTCTCTGCAATGGTGAAATTGTTCATCTTGCCAGATCTTGGAAGTCATAAATGTCTGCTTGGTCATTCCCACAACTTTGTATGGTGGTGAAGTTTTCTTTACTGCTTGTCCTTAGTAATGCTCTTGGGAATAGATTTCAATATCCTTTTTTTCTCTTTTAATATTTCAGTATTTCTTTCAATATTCTTGAATTATGACAATGATTCCACTAAATGCTATGCTAATCACAAACTATAGTGCACAGGACTATATTCATTGTGGTGGTGCACAACACTACCAATTCATTTCTTATTTATAAAACCCAATTCTCTTCTGAAAGAAATAAATTAAATTCAGATAGAAGGAAGATGGAAGCCAGTATACACATGGTCCACTTGAAATATCTCTCTGATGAGACTTACACAACAAGATGGGATGACGATGCACACATGATGACCAAGGTGGCCATGTATCCACTGTTGATATTGTCTTACGCAATATCTTACGCTTATTTCATGACCATTGTATTTTTCAATGAACTTATATTATACAAGGCATTTACATGCAAAAAAGTTAGAATATGGCAGTTATTGTAGTCAGTCTATTAATAACCAAATTATTTTGTTTTAGGCAATAATTTGCGCGTTTGAGGGTCATTGATGTCTCATCACCATTATCCCAGGATACTGTTACGCACTTCTTTTTCCATGTGGTTATTGTGCCTGGAAATAGAAACAATAAGAATAAAGCCACTGCTACTATATCATATCTCATCATACATATTTCTACTTGCAAGTTGCAAGTGTTGCCTACTTAAAGCAAAATACGGCTATATGACATTTAAAGAGTTTTAACAAGAAAATGGCAAACATGGCATAAAAGTGACAAAATGTCACCACCTGTGAATGGTTTCAAAAGTGATACAGATATTGAAAAAACATTTGGGCAAGCAAAAAAATACCTTTTTGACCTTCAATATGTTGCGGACACTGTTTATGATCAAGTTTGATAACCTCGACTTTTAACCTTGAAAATTTTACTTTCAGACCTCAGTAGATACTTTGTGTTAAGGAAGATTTAATTTGGATCCAAAAATCAATTTGAAAAAACTTTTTTGACATTTTAATGGTGACTGAAGGACAACCAAAGGTTGAAACTCAAATATAAAGTCAGTTAAATTAGATACAATTACAAAAACATAAGAATGTGTTTGGAGCAGTAGGAGTTTTATTACGTAACATTATGTAACATTACGTCACAAATTATTAAATATTAATAACTAACCCCCATACACTAAACTAAAGCTAAAACTAAAATACAATTATATAATAAACCAAAGAAAAATGTAAAAACCCACAAATGCAATAAAATACTTGGAGGGGGGGGGGGGGGTGTGGAAGAACTGCAGCTTTATTGCTTAACGTGCTTATTTGCTGGGCATTGGCTTAAACTGATCATTTAATGTTATGAGCATAATATGTAGGCTGTAATGTCACATCCCAATGACTTTAAGATTGTATCAGTGTAAAAACATACCTTAGGCCCCAGGCGTAAATTGCCCAAATTTAAATACAAATATTATCATATCTTTTAAAACAAGGCTAGTGGTTACATTAAAATGTGGCCAATACTCATTTTTCACATAGATGGAAGAATGAAATCATGCTGTATATCCTGTCAGACTTTTTGCAATATAAAGGATAGAAATATTATCAATCTTGAGTCTCTTGACAACCTTTTCCACTTACCTTCATACCACTGTGTATCTGAACTCCCATAAATGGTGTATTCCTGTTTAATTCATGTGTTTTTTCTCAAATTCTGCTTGTTGTTCTGTCTGTCTCTCTCCAACTCATTCACTCTCCAACTCATTCACTCTGTCTATCTCCATGTTGTTCCGTTCTGCTGTTGTTCTGTTCTGCTGTTGTTCTGTTCTGCTGTCCCCCTGTTGTTCTGTTCTGCTGTCCCCCTGTTCTTCTGTTCTGCTGTCCCCCTGTTGTTCTGTTCTGCTGTCCCCCTGTTGTTCTGTATTACTGGTCCAGTATAACTTCGGCCATCTTCTCCCATGACCATAGCTTACTCTTGGCCTATTATCGTCCACTATCAACCAGAGAATTGACTTGTTTTGGACCCCGCTAACACAATTATAATTTGGTACTTTAGAATTATAGAGGTAAGTGACATTTTCATGTGGAGAAAGTGGCAAAAGAAGAAAAAATGCCCTAAACTTTTTTTATATTTTTTTCATCTAAAAATGTCAGGCATTAATTATTACTAAATTACTTCAAGGTTTATGTACATTTCTGTTCATAATGCTTTTTAAACTGGAAATATGAGAAAATGTAGTTACACCTTTGAAAAACTAAAAATATTTTTGATGATTTAATTAAAGAAGGGTAATGGCTTATACGCCTTTATTACTCTCAAGTTAACCTTGCATTTTAAGTAGAAAATACACATACATGTATGCCTAAATTATCAAAGCGAGATAATCAGATTATGAATGACTATGTTACAAAAACTATATATAATACATACAAAAGAAAAACCAATCATGTAATGTTGTGATCACATCACAAATGTCACAAAAATGAAGTGATATAGGTATTTTACTTTTATAATTTGTGAAATTAGTCTGAATTCAGAATCAATCTCTTCAGTGCTGCCATATTGGTCAACGATTTCAACAGGGAGGTTCTTATATGCATCATGGTATTATGCCCTTGTTTACTAAGTCGATCAAGTCATTTTTGGTCTCCTTTTCCAAGCCAAGATTTTTTCGTAAAAAGGTTTCAAATTATAAGTTTTTAGATTGGGGTTTCCCCTGTTTTTTCTTTGGAGTTTCCCCTGTTTTTTCTTTGGAGGTCAAGTTGAGGTGTTATAGCAGATGTGTGATCATACTTGATGTCAACTATGTACAGCTGGCCTCTTGATATGGGGATCTCATTGCCCTTGAGCCAATTCACCCTCTCCCCAGTCTCTGCAATGGGGAAGTTGTTCATCTTTCTTGCCAGGTCCTTGAAGTCATAAATGTCTGCTTGAGTCATTTCCACAACTTTGTATGGTGGTTAAGTTTTCTTTACTGCTTGTACTTTAATATAATAAGTACTGCTCTAGAGAATAGATTTCAATATCCTTTTTTCTCTTTCAATATTTCAGTATTTCTTATAATATTCTTGAATTATTGCAATGGTTCCACTAAATGCTCTGCAAATCAAAAAATATAGTGCACAGGACTATATTCATTGTGGTGGTGCACAACACTACCAATTCATTTCTTATTCATAAAACCAATTCTCTTCTGAAATAAATAAATCTAATTTAGATAGAAGGAAGATCGTAGCAAAAACCGCTAGTGTCAGTCCTGCTCTTCTTATATTTTTGGAAGTCAGTATACACTGGGTCAACTGGAAATGTCTCTCTGATGAGATTTACACAAGATGGGATGACGATCCGCACATGATGACCAAGGTGGCCATGTATCCACTGTTGATATTGTCTTTATGCAATATGCCACATCTTTTTGTGATAAGGACCTTCATAGCTATCGGAATACTGAGATTTAGAACACTGTGCACTGGAGATCACACCTGAAAGTACACTGGAGACCAAAATATATGTAGGCTAAATGTAGATCTATACACAAACTCATATCCTTTAGACATATAGGCTGCACCTCATACCAGAGTCCCAACTGCCTGTATTTTACACCATCTGATGTGTTTGAATGCTGTTACCAACAGTTGAATAAATTCCCATTGGAATACAACGTTAGAGAATTGCATACTCATTCCATCTTCCAATCTTGTATTGTTTACAAAATTTTGAAAATGAATGATCAGACTTAACGTTCAAATTATGAGTGAAATGGCCATTACCAAAGAATTTATGAGTATGAGACTATGCTTTTATAGATATTTATTCACATTATATGAGACTATGTTTTTATAGATATTTATTTACATCTTCCCAGTTCTCTTGCCAAGGCTCAAACTGAACATCTATTCAAGATCTTCACATATCAATGTATGCAAGTTTCCATAAAAGGAACTCCAAATATATAATTGAGGATAGGGAAATAGATATCTGAACAACAACTTATTTTTACTATACTAACCTTAAAACTCATTTACAATATTACCTTAAAACACATTTATAATATTACTTTAAATCTTCCATTTTGTACCCTGATATATGGGTCAATCCCCTTTTGATCACGAGCCCCGTGATCACATGCAATCAATAATAAATTTATAATGTTGTCTTAAAGAAATGTATGCTGCAGTCTTACTCAGTACCATTGCTGCTATCTGTTCTGTTTTCGCATCGATGATACCCTCTAGCCGCGCAATCAAGGTCTTTGAGGCATCGTCCCCTTCTGTAGTGCTGAATAAACTTGCTGTGGTTATAATGTCATTGACGCTTTTTGGATCTTGCGCCACGACGTGATTTCTAATAGACTGTGGGAGTCCATTTGCTATTATGTTAACGATCTGCTGTGGTGTCAGTTGATCTTTGGCTCCTCTAAGAATTTCGCTCACACGGGTGACAAATGATCTAACGGACTCGTCTGGTAGCATCTTCAATGTACCAGATGATAGTAGTGTGCTCAATTCAGCAGTGTTATACTGCTTGATTTGAAAACGGGCTTCAAAGGCCTTCTTCAAGTCTGCCCAGGTAATGTCTATTGGCATAGCCTCCAGCCATGTTCTGGCTCCGTCTTTAAGATATAGTTTTAAAATGTCTCTCCTTTGACCAGTTTAGAGCTTAGCAATCTTCCAATCTCTTAAAATAGTTTCTAAAACCTCCCATTTTTTATGGTTGTACCAGTGCACCATCTCTGGCTTCTGCACTTCAGTGCCCCCTGTATTTGTAGTCTTGATCATCCTGCAAATATAAAGTTATCAACTTAAATAGTTTAGAACTTACCAACCTCCCAATCTCTTACGATAATCTGGGTCATTGATAGTCAGCATATCAACTGGGCCGACATGATAAACTGTAGCTGGATGATCGTGAATGTACTGCTGTATTTTAACTACCCCTGGACCACTCAAAGCGAACACATTCGCCTATACATCACTGTCACTGTCACTGGAGATATCTGGACTACCCTGCCGCAAAAGATAGTAGTCATCCATCTCATTAATATTTAGAATATTCATCGTTTTCTATAGAGCTGATTCCTCCTGAAGCCATTTTGTGTGATACAAAATAATGTACTCTGACCTATTTTTGGGGCATGACATCATTTTTAGTGGTAAGAATATAATAAAACGTTATGATCAATTTCAAGATTTGTTCGACCTGTTTGATTTTTAAAGTTGTATATAGTTTGGATCGTAAAAAAGCTTTGTTCTGTGTATTTTTAAAATTTTTGTCATAACATTTTTCAGAACAGTTCTTTTGATAGGTTCACCATTCTCATTTATAAATAAATATGTTTTGTCTCATTGCCAGATATTTTGTTGAATTGTTACTGGACATATTTCTTTTCTTAGTGTTTGTACAGAGTTAATGAATGATTTTGATTTCAATTTGAGTGTTTAAAGGGTGTTAATTTCAAAATTATGTTATCATTAGTTACCTTTAAATCTTTGATGGCTATATGATGATCTATTTTGTGGTGAAATGTTACTTCTCCCATTCTCAATACATGTAGATCAAAATACATGGTAACAAATATTGCTTCAAACATTACTCTATCATAGTTCTTTAATTCTACATTTCTTGATTGTCTTGTCTATTGTTTAAGAACTTCAATTGTTACTGGAAATCTAGTATCTACATCATCGTGCACAGACCCAGGGTGCCCGGCATATACATCCAGTATTTTCATGTTTTGGTCACAGGTTAGTTGAGTATTAACGCTGGAATACATCTTGCGATTTATGTAGTCTGTTCCTGACCCTGATGGCTTGGGAATTGGCATATATGTGCCATCAATGGCACCCACAATTCCTGGTATTCCTGAAACATTGAGTTATCAATAGGTATGCAATATTTTACTCACATCAATAACAATATGCCATGCAACTGTACACAGTGTGTCTAATTAAAAAATTTAAAAGGAGTATCTCAGAACATCTCTATATCATTATTAAATATATCTCTACTCTTAATTGCTCAAAATTGACAATTTTCTAGTTTATTCACATTACTTTCAAACAAATATTTATGCTTTTCTGTTTATAAATGTTATCAGTTTTATTGAAAATTTAATAATTTATAATGAAGAAAATACTGTATTAATTTGCTTTACAGGCCTATATCAAAAAATATAATAATTATACTCATATTGGTCTTCAGTGATTTGGGGTCACTGTTTTTACATATAGTTAAGAAAGGATCATTGAAAATAAATTACCTCGAAATTCGCGAAATGCCGCCTCAGAAACATCCATTTCTTCCGTTGTTGGCCATCTCACCACATCATCTTTGATTTGCATGACGCTTGCAACAAACTCTTGCACAATATCATGGATGGTTGAATTGGCGACCCCAAACGTCACTGCTAGAGAGTGTATGGTCTCTTTGTTAGCAAAGTACCATAGCCCTACTAAAACTTTCTTTTTTGTAGAGATCTCCTGTCTCCGACCCCTCCCTCGGGCTCCATGTTGGACGTGCAATGCCTCTAGATGGGGGGCAAGTCGCTCGCACAAGATGTTGTATGAATCTGGAAAATAATGATACCTGTATACTAGAAAACATGTACGGTACTCTGATTGGTTCACTTGTAAAAATAAGGCAGAGTGGGTATCAACTTTTGAATTTTGCAATTTTGCGAAGACCTTACATTTTAAGTACTACATCCACATTAAGGGTGTTATTTCGGGATTATATCTACGATGCCTGATGCACTTTATAGATCTGTTATATCACACTGAATGTCAAATGTGATAAAAGCGTTTTTGAAAAAAATCACCCATTGATGCTAAAAATGCATTGATACAACCTGTGTGTTTAATCGTAGACAAAAAATTAAATAGACTTACATGTAATAATCAGCAATTGATTGTATCGTGTTACCATGAATAATGATGATGAATAACAATGTGAAGAACACACCTTTTTCAATTCTGAAATTCTTTCTAAATTCAAGGTCGTCAAACTCCTCAACTGTGTCGCAGAACGATAGTATTTTGGGAATGTCCCTCCTCAATATGCTCAGTAGCTTGACCTCTTCAATTTCACTGTCCGAAGAATCCTCGGATTCACCCGAACTCTCCGAACTTTCTGCTATTTCCTCAAGTAAAAGCACCGCTAGTTTTCTTTTATTCGCCATTTTGCATGTAAGACATGTAATCACGTGATAGTGTTATAAAAATATCACGTGACCATCACGTGACCACCGTCAGTTAACTTGCTCTGATCATTATTTCAGCATCAAAATGATGGTTTAATTTATTCATAAATACCGGTTATTATGTCATCGTCAGTCGGCCGACGGTTCTAGCGAATACAAGCTTAGATTGATTTTATTCAATTCATTCAATGTATGTTTGACTAAATAACTTGATCTTTTTGACTGTCAACTTTGATACATACCCCACTTAAGCTTGATGTTTTATTTTACATTTTTCTGCCCAATGTATGATTTCATTAGCAATTTTTAATGGGTCTGATAATCTGATGAAATCCTTTTTTTTCATGTATATCCTTTCCACCAATTTGGCAGGTAATATCCGCAAGAAAATTCAACAATTCTGGAAGATTTATTTTTCAAAGAGAAAGTTTACAATTGAAATTGATCTATGAGTTTTCGCCTCTAAGATAGAAGATCTATTAAAAAAGGGGCAAGGCCACCAATGTGAACAAGTTCAGTGTTTTTGCTAAAAATAAAGCAACAAGGTATACACATCCTGTAATAAGATACTTGTGACATTATCATAACAACCGTCCTGTGTAACAGGGGTCTATGACCTGATATAAGGACAGATACCTCGACCTGTAAGATAAGAAGTTGGAAAAAAGAAAAAGTATCTCCATGTCTAACTAATAAGTAGACTGTATGCACTGAACTAGGCCTAAGGCCAAAAACTGGACGGGTTAGATCTCCATAATTCATGCATGTGAAGTTAAGAACTTAACCCTGGATGTATAAAACAACCCAGCTGTATGTTCCTGAAAATTGGCCGAGTAATGCTTAACATATAAACCAGATGCTTCTGTTTGACCCGGAGACGTTTTTGCATGGTTTTGAAGGGTGGTGGTCTTTGCCGCATTTTTCGCAATTGTGTGACCAAAAGCAATTTTGTTTGAAACATTTCCAGTTTTGGCAAAGGTGTAACATTTTCCGTTTTGTTGCTTGTGACTGGTAAATTTATCTGCGGATTTGTTGTTACTTTGAAAGTCATGAAAATGACCTTTTGAATTTTTGAGCTTTTTTATAGAGCTTGCGGCAACGTTAATCCCATCCAAAACCCCATGACTTCTTATGGATCCTGAATGCTTCATCATACATTTTGGTAGCAGGAAAACCCTCATCGAAAGCAAGTTCGCCACCAGACTTTGACAAAAGGTGCGTGATGTTAAATATATATTAGATAATATATATTTCTTGTTTTTTTTTCTTATCAATGCCATCAGCCAAGGGAATACCCAAACAAATCTTAAGAAAATCATTAGGTTTTTGAGGGGTTAAGGCAGTGTCTGACTCACCTGATAATAAAGCATTCATTGTTGGGCTATGTTGCCATTATTAGAGGACGTTTGCTCGCCATCTGAATCAGATTAACTCTCGACGGACATTCTGGAGATGTCAGAAGATGTGCTTGCTCCCGCGTCCAAGCCATCTTTCTGCTGAGAGGGGGCGTCCCGTAGAGCCGCCAGAACCTTTGCTATGATTTCATCTTTAAGTGATACTTACTACGATCTATCTCTGATTGCCCTGTTTTTTTTTCTTTGGCGTGGGTGCTTTGCTTAGGCGGGAGTGTTTTGGGGGCTTTGGGGGTATTCAAGTTAAAAAAAGGGGGGGGGGGTAGTTTTTTATATGTCTTGTCAAAGCATCCAACAGAAGAATCAAATTTAAGTTCACTAATACTATTATTTTGCAAATATTTACTAAGCTAGACATTAATTATATTGATTACTTTGATCCATTGCTTTCAGATATCCTCTAGCTTTTCTGTTATTTTTATCCTATTGAGTGTGTTATAAAATTCCTTAAAATTTTAAATCCTTTGCTCAATTAATCCTCAATTAATCCAATTCCTCGATTCTATCCTACTAAAAACGTTTCACTTATTCATATGGTATATTCTACATAAAATGCTATACAAAGTTAAGGCGTTATAAAATAATAATCCAATGGCTAATCCTCAACTAGTGTTTTGACGGTAATTGTTAAAGACGGACTGCCCGAGCAAAAATCACTCTGCATGAATACGGTTTTCAAGAAAGGGGAGGTCCAAATTCGGACACACCAATATGATTGGAGGAGGGGTAATTTTGATAGACACTTTGGTCCTTCTAGACCCTAGGCCACATGTCCACAGCAACCTGACAAAGGAATATATGAATGTTAGGCTGATGTAGGACGGTCAAAGAGATAAAAGGGGGATTTCTGCCATGGGCCAAATTCAAGTTTTATCGTTTTTAATTGTCCCTTTCTATCTAACGGTATTTAAACATACCTTAATTAAATGGATCAAGGTCATAGTTATGAATTACAACATGAAACTATGACATAAAAATTACAGCATGAAAATACAACATAAAACACTGACACAATATCAAACTAGGCACTTTTAACATGTGCCTTCTAAAAAGCTAGTTGCGATTAAGGCGATATGCCCAGTAAGTAAACGTTTGGGCAAGTTAACATTTACATTCGTTTAATGAAGTTTCGTGCATGTAATCACCACACCTGTATATGTTTGCTCTTTTATTGTTAACAAAATATGAGATACGGACTGATAGAACACTGTTTTATAATTAATACAACATATAAAATCAGGCACTTACATGCGCCTTCACATATAACTTTATATATATTTTCCTATACTAAATAAAAAGTGTCCCTTCAAAAGACAATAAATGAGCGTGCCAAAAAGCACAGGTTTACAATATAAAATATAATACGGCATTTTCGCCCATGTGCATAAAAGCACAAACGGTTTATCGGTTGGACACAATTCTATGTGTCTTTAAATTGGGAAGCATGTACCCTTCAATAATACACAAATAATCAGCTACAACAGATATTTAACTACAGGATTAGCAGATTAACTAATGGGAGAATCTAACCAGGGTGAGAGCTTCACAGATGGCCTGTGCCATTAAGTCAGTAGTGCAAGAATTCAAGACATTAGCTTCTAGATGTTAAGGATGCAGTACCAGGTCAGCGTAGAAAAAGTTCCAGACATTAGATTTTGCTCATATTTTTTACAATGTATCACTATGATGTTATCATCATCCAAGTGCAATATGAAGAGGATTGACCATCTGGTAATTACAAAATAAAAAAACTATTTTACCCACCCAAAATGAATCTTTTTACTTTTTTGAGTTTTCAATAGAGCTGGCACCTTTCGAGCCCTGGTTTTCATATCCACTAATTGCGACTCAAGAACAAGTTTTCCCATAAAAGTGAAAGGGATAAAATATGCTTGATAAAATGTTTGCAATTTAATTTTTTTCTGGAAACACCATTATCAAAATAAACTATAATTTTTGAATTAGACTAAATGCGAAAATGACGTTCTTGGGAGCTAGCTTTCTCAAACCGGAAGTCAAACCTGCGCAAACAGACGTGAAAACCGACCCGGTACTGCATCCTTAAACAAAAGGTTTCACGAGAAGAGAGCAAAGGGATTGTTACGGCAAAATCAAGTGTTGATTTGTGTGCACTAATAATTTCTAGTACTGAAATAATTTCTATAAATGCTACGAAGCGTGTATTACTTAATGTTCTGAATTGTGTGGGGCAGGCAAAGTTCTCTTCTTAATGTGTGGTGATTTTGACAATTGCTTTAAAGTTTGTAGCTCTGACATTATTTATTATCTTGGAATCTGCTCTGAACTTCTAGATTATTTAAATTTCTCTCAGGTAGCATGAATTATTAGCTCACTAAAGTTGAGAAAATGAAAAATACAAAAGACAGAATGTAAAGAAAATTTGAATGATATTGAAACGGGCCTGGGATAAATGAAACTAGAAAGTACTTGAGCAATATGCCCGAGCAATAGTGGGGACTGAATTACATAGAGTCTTAGAGAAATTACTTTGCTCACACCTCATACCAAGTCCCACTAAAATAATTGATGATAAGTCCTTCCCCCAAAATATGTAGATTAAAATAGATTCTAAATGAAACAGAAATAGTGCATTTCTGTTACACGGGTGAATTTTAAGTCCAGAAGTCTTGTGATATCTTCTTTGGATAGAGCCCCTGTAGCATTGTGAGTTTTACCAGCACTGTGGGCTGGGGCTGAGTCGTGCTGAAAGATGCATTTCTGTGGTTATAGGAATATTTTAACAATTTGTGGCTGGATGAACTCTTTAATTATGTCCCTATATGTCTGTCCATTGATTTTAATCCCCTTGATTGCCTCTTTATTTGTGTAACATTAACATGCATGTTACTATTGTTGCAAGTAAAAGATTTTCATGCATGCAACATAAACACCAAATATAATGTTATTCATAATACCTTTATATCATTCTTTGGGAATTTATAACAGCTCCACTCATTCACCACCAGTATTTTAAGTGGCCCCATTCTCAAGTACAGTATTCCTGATTTTGTTCTTCAATGTCTATAGTAGTATATGGTGCCACAGATAGATCCCATCGTGTTGATTTTTGGACCATTTCATTATATTTGAATTCTTGGCAATCATTGTGTAGCCATGATTTGGGTCTTTTGACTGACCAGTTAGATACATACACCACTTTAACTAGGTCTGATGTAATTTGTACTTTTTCATATACCGGTATGTCGTTTCCATCAATCTGGAATATTATTATATCATATAGCCCTGGTTTTGTAATTAATTTTTTATGTCAAGTTAATTTTGCACCTCCATCACTGTCATATTTGATTTCCCAGACATTTAATCTGAGGTCTGGTGGACAATCTTTTCTTTCATATATATTGTCATTAAATCTGCTGAATAAAAGAATGATAAAAATATTAACACAAATACCTGTAACATTCAACTAACAGTTAATGAGGAGCTTCTTCCACAACTTCACAGATCGGATATCTGGGTTTAAGGTAGCAAGCAACTGATTACTTTTGTTCACACCTCCCATTGAATGGTTGTAGCGGTGCACCATCTCTTGCTTCTGCACTTCAGTGCCACTTATGTTTGTTATCTGGATCATCCTGCAAAAAATGAAATTATGTTCTTTATAAAAAATTATAAAACAAAGAGCCATTATACCAATTATTGTCATTTTTTGAAAATATTAAAAATTAAAAATCTAGGATTAGAAATGTTAGGATTTTTAATGTCCTTTAAATATGTATAATATGTATTAAATTAAAGTCCATGGTTGTATGATGTTATTGCACCCTATATCAGGTGTGCAACTGTTAAAAAGATGAATACTAACAAAATGCAAAATATCTCATCTGTGTCATCAAGTTTGTTGATTGCACTATATTTTTTCTTTAGTTGGGCCTGCATGGGGGAGGGGGGGGGGGGGCAATTAGGGATATAGCGCTCTCATATCATATGATGAGTTCCAGCATGTTGATACTTCTTTATGAGTTTGTGTTTTAGTAGCCCACGTTCCTCCTTAAGTTTAAGCTTGTCTGCTGCCGTGGTTAACTTGTGAAAATGTTGGACTTTGGGCTTCATCTTTTTTAGGAGTTCTCTGAGGGTTTTCTGACACAGCCAGGTTGATAACATGTGCCTAACAAGCAATCAAGGGCCCCATTGTACATATTGTGCTCGAGGTACAATTTTTTATCATTCTTGCCTGAATGCCATATTGATGGCCCTTCATATTTGCCGCCCCATCATATCCCTGGTCACTCATTTTGTGTATATCAATGCCATTACTGACTATTTCATCACTCATGCAAGTACAAAGACCTTCTGTGGCCTGCTCGGCTTTTACAAAACCATAGAATTCTATTGAAAGGAATATATCAAAGTTACAAGAATTTACAATGTCTCCCTTTATGTGATTGCTACATAACAATAATTCATTTTGAATTAACAAGCAATCATTGGCCCTACTGAACATAACTTTTATTTATGCCTTTATGGCCCTTCATATTTGCCGCCCTATCATATCCCTGGCCACGCATTTTGTGATATCAATGCCACTACTGACTATTTCATGGCTCAAACTAGTACAAAGATCTCATCCCGTGGCCTTTTAAGGTTTTACAAAATCAATGAATTTTTGGGAAAAGAAGTTATCAAAGTTACAAGACTTGATCTTGATTTATTTCCAGTGCTAAGGAAACATTATTAGGTAAACACTTATAACAATATTTACCAAATGAAGTCATGGATGTGGTTAATAATTGACTGTTCTCAGACAAACAAAACTGATGAAAACAGCCACTGAAATCTAATGTGAATCAGTAGTGGCACCACCAGTTTCTAGAATCGGTATAGACTGATTGAAATCACAAAAGAATATGTAAAAATATGAAAATAAATTGAGAACTGGAGAAAAAAAGAATCAGTAGTTGGCATTGTATACCTCTCTCGTTTTATCTGTTTATTGTGTTAACAATAATCACCTGCTCTTGACCTCTGGGTTTAGACACGCCTTTCTTGCTGCGACAGGCATGGCTGAAGTGATCTCTCCCGTTACACTTGGAACAGGTTTTGCCAATAGCTGGACATTTATTGTTATTATGCTCACCTTTGCATTGTGTGCAAGTTGATTTCTTAAACTTCTGCCTGGCTACAGAATCTAGTTCAGCATCTCTGTTTCGCCGCTAAATCAATTAATGATAACGAGCTTTCTGAATAATCTGCTCTAAAGTGAATGTTTTCATTTGTAGCTCCATGGCTAACTTTTTAAAAAGTAATATTTGGAAGTGCATTACCATCTTCGCCCACAACAGGAGGAAAATCAAATGTTCTGTAGATTTACTCGGCCTTCATGCCCGTTGAGTATAACAGTCCTGCAACTTGGACATCATCGTCTTCTTTGTGGAGCTTAGATGCCAATTTAAAATGTTTGAAGTTCCAACTTACTGTTCAACCTTGAATTCGGCTTATTGAAATCAAACTTGTCAGGGGGACTAAACTTAGCCATCGTGTCTTTTAGTGAAGATATAATCTAATATTATGGTATAATAAGTCACATAATCCAAATACTATTCTCCAAACTTCCAAGTATGGGCACTGAGTGTGCCACTGTGAGAATACAGGGGTTGTAATGCCAAACTTAATTCAGGAAACTGTTCAACGAAATAACTAAATAAAACAAATACAAATTGACTTAAAAAGTACATGCTTATCGGCAACATATTGCCATACAAAATACAAATGATGCAATAATACAAAATATTGATTTTATAAGTGAAATACTGTAAAGGCCATCACGAAAATACTGGAAAAGTAAAATACTTGATTCCGCCATTTTCAATATGGCCGTATAAACAAAACCCGAAGGAAAATATGAAAGTTACTGGAAATTCTCAAAATACAAGGTAAATATATACACTAGACTAACTCTAACTAATACAATATACAATCGGAAGGGATAATCTGATGCCTGGAGATTGGGAAAGACCAAGGTTTTACCACCTTTTGATTGCCGGTCGTCACATCACTCCCCCCTTAAAAATAGGTTCGACCCGAACCTAGAAAACTATTATTGACTCAAAATGTCCATCAAATGCCTCATTGGCAGTGTTCATTGTGCATCATAGCTCATCCATGGAGTCATGGGACGTGAATATGAAATAATCCTCAGTCTCAGCAGGGGCTAAGGACACCCTCTCCCCCTGACTTAGTTTATATCTAGCTAACTCATCAGTTGAAAGGGCGCCCACTACTTGCACGGATAAGGTCACCTGCAGGCTCATCAAAGGTAGGATTTTCCTCTCTGATGCTCCCTCCTTGATGGCAGTACTCCTCTTCTTCCTCCTCTTCTTTGCGGGCCACACACCAGGAGATTGGAATCGCCTTTCACCTGGGTAAGTGAATTTGCAGATCTAGGAGTGGGGACATCCAAGGAGTTTGGGCAAGGTTGCTCACTGGTGAAGGAGCTCACTAGTGAGGACACCTCTCTCCTGGATAGCCTTCCTCTGGGGGAGTGTGACAGTAATTGACACAGGGGTCTGAGTAGTTGGGGACGGGGGCTCAGCCAGGCGTGCCACCCGGACTACTGCTGGGGGTTCTGCCTCAGTAGTTGTCTCCGCTGGAGATTCAGCTTCATCAGTGGATCCTGGGGAGTCAGCCCCAGTAGTTGGGACCGGGGGCTCAGCCAAGCGTACCACCCGGACTACTGGAGACTGCTGGAGTTGGGGACGCTTCCTCATAATTTTGACCCTGGCCCTGCAGATTTTCACATGGGCCTTGAACTTCTTCCAGCTTTGGAACTTCTCGCAAGTAATGGATCCTCCTCCATTGGGGCGTATGATGGTGGTCCTTCATTCCTGAAAGAACAATATGACCTAAGTGATGGGATGGTGAGGGTTAGAGGGTGACTATGGGCACATATTAAAGCAATATTATTAACATGTTATGGAGTACACCTCATACCCATCTAACCAGGATGGTACCTTTGCCTGACGGGAGGGTTGTTTACAGTGATTGGGACTTGAAGGACCTTGGGCATTTATTTGGGTATCATCCTCAGGGGCAGAAGTTGGGACATCAGAATGAAATTCAGGGGGTGTCTCTCCAAGAAAAGGCTTCAAACGATTGCAATGGACAACCTTTTCTTTTCCTTTAATTTCTAACATGTACCGAAGATCATCAAGTTTTAGGAGAATCTTGAAGGGGCCATGCCAATGATTGGCGAATTTGGGGGTCTGACCTGTCTTTGCTATGGGGATGTATAGCCAGACTAGATCGTTTTCATGGTAATCCATGAGGTTAGCCTTTAAATCATATTGCCTCTTTTGGTTGTTACTGGACAGAGAAATATGCTCATGGGCTGATTCATGGACAAAAGCCAGCCTTTCTTTGAGATTTTGACAATAGGTGGTTGCAGTACTGTCTTGGTGGACATTGTTATAACTTGGGGGTGACCGACCAAGCACAAGATCTGCTGCAATATGTGGGCGACGACAAAACATCAACTCAGAGGGAGCAAATTTGGTAGTTTCATGTACCGCAGATCTGAGGGCAGAGGCAACAAAAGGGAGGAACTGGGGCCAATCTCGGTGATGGCGTGAAACAAGTTTGGCGAGCATGGATTCAGTGGTCCGGTTAGCTCGTTCGATGAGCCCATCAGACCGGGGATGATAAGGAGTTATACGGGTCTTGTTGATCTCAAAAATACGACAAACCTCCTTTGAACAGTCGAGACTCAAATTGGGCACCTTGATCAGACACTAAGTCCTGATGTATTACGTTGGGGATGGCCAGAATATGGATCATTCTTTACTTTCTTGTATCGAATCTACCTTTGTTGCCCCGAAACTGATTCTTTAAAGCCTCTTCACAAGTATTGGCCTGATGGATTTTGTCCTTGTGAGCTGGGCACCCATGAGATCCTTTACATGCAATACCTGCCGGACAGCCCAACCCTTTATGGAATGCAAAACAAAAACCCGATGGGATGTAGGGAATACGAGTTTTATCCTGATTTTCATCACTTTTCGCAGAAACGGATGTTTCATTCTTTTGCTTAGGTTTTCCCGCATAAAATCACGCTTTTTGGATGAACTTGTGAACGTTGTATTACCCCCGGTTTCTATTCTCTATTTTCATCTGGTGTATAACTGACATATATACTGATAACTGATTGGCCTCTAAAGGGAATTTCTCACTGTAAACAGAGATGAATCTAAGAAAGGCCTGCCAAATGGGGTAAGCAAGGTATTTTTTGTCAGCACTCTTACTTTTTATATATAACTGCTTGCTATCATTAACACCCAAAGACAAGTATTTAGATGGATTCCCATCCTCAACATCGCTATCCTCCTCCTCTACCAACTTATTTAGCTCCACAAACTCATGTTCCCAAATTTTTTCCTTAAAGTGAGGAAGAGATGGTTAGCGACATTGACGATGAGAAGTCCAACATAGGACGCATGCTACCTGTCTGCTCCGATGCTAAGTATTCATTGTTATTAACAAAGTTCCCGGGGGGAGACATGTATGGTTGGTGTTGAAACATAGGCTGAGTTGATTGCTGTATTGGCGCTTGATGTTGGATATATGATGCTTGTGGGTACAGCATACCATGCTGATATGGAGGAGGATATGAGGGCTGCATCCCAAACATGTTATTACTAATGTATGTCACTGGACGCGGTTGTTGTAAGCCATATGGATTTAACCCCATGTCACCCAAGACTGTAGCCCCTCCTGGTTGACCCTGGGAGGAGGCTACTTGAAACCTAGGTGCATTATGAACTGAATTTGGTGTCACTGTCCACGAAGAGCCCCTTCCTGGTTGACCCTGGGAAGAGGATTTTCGTCCTGCTGGTTTTGGGGTCACTACCCAACCCCCGGGTGACCCCCCATATGGTAATGTACTGTCCTTACTGGTATCTGGTTTCTTACGTTTAACACTGTTTATCTTGTTAGTTACTTTCATCCTTAGTTACCGTCATACTTACGCTTTTTTGCGTTCAGCACTTCTACTGCGCAACTCGCCGACCTACTTACCAAGATTACTGCTTCCTGAAAGACACTAAAACTACAAATATTAGCAGATCAAACTCTTCGTATCTATAACCAAGTCTGTCAATGACTTCTACACATTAACCACCCGGCTTGGTAAGTGAACAGGACTCATTAATGCCACATAAAACATTTATTCGATGCTTACATAAAATTCATTTCAGTTTTAGTGGGTTCTGATTTTTTGGGGTCAGCTTCTACTGCCTATAGTCACCATCTGTACTAAAAAGATGAAGACAAGTAATCTTAAGTGGACAAAGCATCTCATATTATATTTGTCAAAATCTTACCTTTGGAAAGAAACTTGATATGCTTGGCTGTTTGTTTACTGGTACATGTACGCTGGATTTCTTTGTTGTTTTTTGTGTACATTTATGAGTAATAGTCATCAAAGGTACAAAATGGTTAGATATAAATGGTACAGACGCTCTATTGTCTAGGGATCCATCTCTGCTGAACATAACAGCAACTGGTTCACACTGTTTGTATCCACTGTGTGGAACAGTCAATGTGTGGATCTGTCCATGATATAATGGGCGCATGGACTCATTAGTTTCCGGGAAAATGGACACTAAGTCCTGATGTATTACGTTGGGGATGGCCATAATATGGATCATTCCGGACCATTTTCCATTATTCGCAGTGGTTATGGCAACTTTGGCCATGGTCCCAACAAGATCTAAAGTTTCATGGTAGTAGTCAAGGATATTTCCCTCGGAGGGTAATTACAAGTATTTGGATCTTTAGTTGTCATTGCTGGATGCTTGGCCGCCTCCTGAATGTGGGGGTGATCAGGACTATACCTCAGGGGGTTTGTGTATAGTTCAATTACCACAAGAACTCTTAGTGTCTTGCTTAATGAGTCATCTCCTGAAACAAATAATATAATATATTGTGTATTTCATCATGTGAAGACAAACATAAAAGGCTTCAATAATAATTACAATTCTCTAAATTTTTCTAACTGACATAACTGTAACTACATACTCAGATACTGTATAAGCATATACATGTATTCAAAGATGATAGTGTGATTCAGTATAAAGAAATCTAATTTGATGAAATGTCATGGAATGTGCAGTCTTTCAAATGGAATGTTTAATCAGCTTATGATGATGCATGTGCAAATTGATATACCCTTTAAGAAAATATATATAACAAAACTTCCCTCATTACACATTTATGTAACAACTACAGGAATAAAATTCCAATTTAGCAATCACTTTTCTGTTCAAATTATATGTTGATTTTTTTCTTTGCTTTTCTACATTCTGGACAAACCCACAATTTTTAGTAGACTCCAGATGAAATCTGGAGTCTATTGTTTTCGTCAGTATTCTTATTATTCTTTTTCTTATTAGACTCCAGATGTCAAAAATTGTTTTTGCCAGTATTCTTCTTCTTTATTCTTATTATTATTATTCTTCTACAAACGTTTTCTCCTTAACTAGAAGACATTGAGTCAAGTCCTGTATATGGTCAATTTAGGTCCAGTATCTAGTTTCTGGGAAATTGGGTCAATTTTTTATCTAGGTCAAAGGTCAAGAACTAGGTCAAATCCAGTACTTTGTCACTTTTTTCAATTTTCTCAGTCGTCCTTCAATATTTTCGATCCAGGTTTTTTTCATTGTGTTCCTCATAAAAAAGTAGGAAAGCTAGTGTCGATTTAGTTTTTTGATATTTCAAACCGATTTTGAGATATGGCGTCCAGAAAGTAGGTCACACCAAAACGCGCTCCAAATTCAATGTATGAGTTATGAATTAGGGGTAGAACTTTGTCAGGAATCCGAATCTGCAAACCAAATTTTGATCCGACTTCTGGTTCGGAAGTTATGGCGTTTTGAAAACTCAAAAATCGCTAAATTTTGTGCCCATGTTAAGTCAATGGGAAAAAAGATTTTTTTGAAGTGAAAAATACAAAATATAGACTGAGTTCAGCTTAATTTAATGAAAGGCTTCGAAAGAAGGGGACCTCAAAAGCCATCAAGCTTCAGAATTTGGACACCAAAATTCCTAGGTCAAAATCTAGGTCAAATTCAAAAGTTTTCCTTATTTTTGCGATTCTGACACTACACTTCAATTATATTCTTCGAAATTGTGTATACATGTAGCCAAGAGTGTGCTAATAGTGTTAGCCTCTAGCCGTCAGAAAGTATTTTGACCCACTTTTGAGATATGGTGTCCAAAAAGTAGGTCAAAATAAAAAGTTCTCCAAATTTAACGTATGAGTTATGAATTAGGTGTAGAATTTTGTCAGGAATCTGAATCTGCAAACCAAATTTCGATCCCACTTCCGGTTCGGAAGTAATGGCGTGTCCGAAAAGTAGGTCAAAATAAAAATTCGCCAAATTTAACGTATGAGTTATGAATTAGGGGTAGAATTTTGTCAGGAATCCGAATCTTTAAATCAAATTTCGATCCGACTTCCGGTTTGGAAGTTATGGCATTTTGAAATTTCGGAAAATCGATCTGATTGCATCCTGATAGAAAGTCAAGAGTAGAGAAGAAAATATTGAAAAATTCATCCATCCTTCCTATCTGATCTTATCCTATCCTATCCTTCCTATCTATCCTTCCTTCGTATCTTTTCCTTCCTATCCTTCCTATCCTCTCCTATCCTCTCCTATCATATCCTTTCTTCCTATTCTGTTCTATCCTATCCTTCTTTCTTATTCTATCCTATTGTTCCTTCCTATTCTATCCTATCGTTCCTTCCTATTCTATCCTATCCTACCTTCCTATTTTATCCATCCATCTTTTTCTGGATGACTCAGCTTATTCTGGATGACTCCGCTTATTCTGGATGACTCGGCTAAAAAAGGTCTAAATCTGGAGTCTGAAATTGAACTTCGTTCAATTTCCAAAGTCTAGTTATTAGACTCCAGATGAAATCTGGAGTCTATTGTTTTCGTCAGTTTTCTTATTATTATTATTATTCCAGGCACGTTTTCTCAATAACCATAGGGTCTTCAGTAAAGTCAATCGGTTGGTCAATTTAGGTTCAGAATCTAGTTCCTCGGAAATTGGGTCAAATTTTTATCTAGGTCAAAGGTCAAGAACTAGGTCAAATCCAGTACTTTGTCACTTTTTTCGATTTTCTCGGTCGTCCTTCAATATTTTTGATCCGTTTTTTTTTCATTGTGTTCCTTATAAAAAAACAGGAAACCTAGGGTCGATTAAGTTTTTTGATATCTCAAACCGATTTCGAGATATCAGTGTCCGAAAACGAGGTCCAAAACAAAGTTCTCCGAATCAAATGTTAAGGATATAAGTCTTATAGGAAATTTTCTCAGGATTCCGAATCTAAAAACGAAATTTGGATCTGACTTCCAGTTCGGAAGTTATGGCGTTTTGAAAACTCAAAAATCGCTAAATTTGGTGCCCATGTTAAGTCAATGGGAAAAAATATTTTTTTGAAGTGAAAAATACGGAATATAGACTGAGTTCAGCTTCATATAATCAAAGCCTTTAAAAGAAGGGGACCTCAAAAGCCATCTAGCTTCACAATTTGGACACCGAAATGCCTAGGTCAAATTCATAGGTTTTCCTTATTTTTTCGATTCTGACACTACACTTTAATTATATTCTTCGAAATTCTGTATACATGTAGCCAAGAATATGCTTATAGTGTTAGCCTTTTGCCGTCAGAAAGTATTTTGACCCACTTTTGAGATATGGTGTCCGAAAAGTAGGTCAAAATAAAAAGTTCTCCAAATTGAATACATGAGTTATGAATTAAGGGTAGAATTCTGTCAGGATTCTGAATCTGCAAACCAAATTTCAATCCGACTTCCGGTTCGGAAGTTATGGCGTGTCCGAAAAGTAGGTCAAAATAAAAAATCTCCAAATTTAACGTATGAGTTATGAATTAGGGGTAGAATTTTGTCAGGAATCCGAATCTGAAAACCAAATTTCGATCCGACTTCCGGTTCGGAAGTGATAGCGTTTTGAAATTTCGAGAAAAATCGATCTGATGGTATCCTGATAGAAAGTCAAGAGTAGAGAAGAAAATATTGAAAAATTCATCCATCCTTCCTATCTCATCCTACCCTATCCTTCCTATCTATCCTTCCTTCCTATCTTTTCCTTCCTATCCTATCCTATCCTATCCTTTCTTCCTATTCTATTCTATCCTATCCTTCTTTCTTATTCTATCCTATCGTTCTTTCCTATTCTATCCTATCCTACCTTCCTATTTTATTTATCCATCTCTTTCTAGATGACTCAGCTTATTCTGGATGACTCGGCTTATTCTGGATGACTCGGCTATAAAAAAGTCTAGATCTGGAGTCTGAAATTGAACTTCGTTCAATTTCCAAAATCTAGTTATTATTCTAAGCAAGTTTTCTCAATAACTGTAAAATCTTCAGTTAAGACAATCATTTGGTCAATTTAGGTTCAGAATCTAGTTCCTCGGAAATTGGGTCAAATTTTTATCTAGGTCAAAGGTCGAGAACTAGGTCAAATCCAGTACTTTGTCACTTTTTGCGATTTTCTCGGTCGTCCTTCAATATTTTTGATCCGGGTTTTTTTCATTGAGTTCCTTATAAAAAAGTAGAAAATCTAGGGTCGATTTAGTTTTTTGATATCTCAAACCGATTTTGAGATATCAGTGTCCGAAAACGAGGTCCAAAAAAAAGTTATCCGAATTAAATGTCCAGGATATTAGTCTTATCGGAAATTTTCTCAGAATTCCGAATCTGAAAACGAAATTTGGATCAGACTTCCGGTTCTGAAGTTCTGGCGTTTTGAAAGCTAAAAAATCGCTAAATTTGGAGCCCATGTTAAGTCAATGGGAAAAAAGATTTTTTTGAAGTGAAAAATACGAAATATAGACTGAGTTCAGCTAAATATAATGAAAGCTTTTAAAAGAATGGGACCTCAAAAGTCATCTAGCTTCAAAATTTGGACACC